AACCTGTTTGCTTCCCAGGAATGAACAATCTGACAGGTCCGCAGCCATCATCTGCATGCAAAGAAACGTCGCAGCTATTTAATTTCCCCAGAATGCCACCATAACCCTGTGCATTGCTGACGTAACAGCATCCTGCACAGACCGCTGGTATTTAATGCATCCTTTAGGCTAAGGAATGTTAACGGATACTGTATCCCACACTACACTGACTTCTGCTTCGTGGTAGAGACAAATACTCCAGAACAAGCCAGCAATGTATCCCTGGAGCTGCAGCCGTCAACAGCACAGCAAACAAAGAGTCGTTCTTCTTAAAACACCCCACAGCTCTTCATTTAGGAAGATTCTCATTGTGCATCAAAGAAAAGAAAAAAACCACAAAAAGAGGGGGGAAAAAAAAAAAAAGAAAAAAAGGAGAAAAAACAAAAGGGAGAGCTAGCATGACCATTAATAGTTTCCCTTCACGTATCTTGCAGTTACTGGAAATTCAAATTTTTAGTTCTGCTTGTAAAATAAAACTACATTCAGATGAAAGTGACAAGGAACAAGGGATTTATGGAAGTTAGTAGTAAATTTCTATTTAAACTAAAAGCTGTTCCTTCTCACAAAGCTCGCTTGATGCTTTTAGGTAACAATTTACGAAGTCTACCTAAAATTTGGTTTTGAACAAGTTTTCATACTCCCTAAGCATAGGATACTTACTACAGAAGTAGGACAGTATCCATAACAATCTCAGAAATTCCAGACACTGAATTCACAATGATCTTAAAGGACAATAAATACTAAACTGAACTTTTGAAGGTGCTGAGCACTCAGAAGTCCAGCGAAGATCAAGTCTTCTGAAAACCATGTTACATTTAAAAATGGCAAACAGATAATATTTCTGCTGAGAGAAAACTCTGCTGGTGCAAAACACACTGCTACAAATATAGGGGAGTTGTGACAGAGAATACTTCCCATACGCAGAAAGCAAACTGGATCATTCAGTTGTCCCCAACGCTGTTATCTGAACGTCTTACCCAAACCACAGACTTCATAGACCTCATTTAATTTGTTGATTTGATCACATCAAGATTTTAACCTAGGCTCAAGGTTTTTAGCTTTCCCAGGCTAAACCACGGGCCACAATTTTGCCACTGCCAGGCCAGCACAAAGGCCAATCCTCAAGGCACCATTTTTCCCAGGGAATTAAACTGGAAAACAGATCTGATTTAAAACTAATAAGGGAGGGGGAAAAAACTGTGTTAAAAATTAGTTTTAAGTCAAATCAGTTGACCGATCCAGTTCACCTGCCAGCATTTATGGACAGCCAGGGATCCCCTGGGATGGGAAAGGGTAGGCTGCTGTTCCTGGCAACAGCACTGGCCTAACGCATCCGTGAAGCTCAACACGACTTGATCTTCTTTGCAGTACATATTGTTATAATGAATAAACAGTCTCCGGACTCACCCAGAAATTGGTCCGTCTTCTTGCTTACCAGTGGTATCATCTGCAAAAACAGTAATAAAAGAAAATTATTCAAGTGAACGAAAAAAAAAAAAGTTAAGCTTAAGCACAAAATGCATCACAGCTACAGAAATACCCAGTAGTGCCAGGGCACTGTAACCCCAATGTTCTCTCTTCAACTAGAGTTCAACTAGAAATGGAGCAACTAAAAAAAGTCCCAACAAACAAAACCTATCTGCAGAAGTGAAGTCTCACACCACTGACATGGAACGAAATTCAAAATCCATATCCAAAGGCTCAGAGCATAAGAAATAAAGGCAAACGTCACAGAAAGAACCAAAGTTGGCTGTGGAGGTCTTTATACAGACTTTTAACTTGCCAGGGAAGAAGAAACATAAAAGTATTCAGTTGGAAAGTCTGTGAGGACAAAAAAACCTTTAAATGAAGTCCTATGCTTTTTCCTAGACACACACCCCCCAGGCCCAGGGGTTCACCTGCATCAACCGGGTTAATAACATTTGGATGATCAGGAAACCGAAATTGGACCCAAAGCACCGCGTTAACCTCTGCGCACCGCGGCGTCACCGCTAAAAGGCCGATAACCCACCCCCG